GTGTACATGTTGGCAGTGCTGCAGGGCAGGAGCTAGAGCCTGGTGGTCAAGTCCTCAGATTCTCAGCTGTTGACTACAGAGCAGAGGAACCAGATTCTATTAGACCTTAAAAAACAGGATGATCAGAATTAAGTGAGAGATATGCCATCTATGAAGAATGATCCTTTGAAAATTTTAATCAGCTTGGTGGTGGTGTTGCATATAGAAAAGTTAAAAATATATATTTTTAAGAGTTATTTTTAAGTAATTTTGCTGTAAAAATGTTGCTTTAATGGTATTCTATTTTGAGCAAAAAAGCAACTCTCAATAGGCAATTTAAAGCATTAACTCAGGAATTAAACTAAATAAATAGGAAATGAGAAGACACTTAAACAAGATTCCACCCCAGACATCTAATTCATCAAAGGTAAACCCAGGGGCAATGAAGTGGAACAATCTGAAAGCCACCCACATGAACTCTGAATTGGTAACAACAAAGCAAGTGAACAAGGCTCTAGAAAAAAAAATCAGAAGTAATTTCTCAGATAACTGCAGAGATGGTGACCATGGTGAAAAGCATGTTTAGTGACTCTAGGGCAGAAACAGATAAAATATAGAGGAGCTTAGGAAAATGATGGAAACCATGAATGCCCAACAGAGGAAAGAAATGGAATGTATAATACAGATTCAAGCAGATATCTAGGAGAATAAAAATTCCTTTGAAAGTATCCACAACAGAATGAGGCACTGTGAGGGCAGAATCTCAGACATACAAGATAGGCTTGCAGGTGGTGATCATGAAAAGAAAGATTTCTTAAAAATAGCAGGGGACCATGAGAAATCAATACAACAGCTGCTAGATGAAGCAAAGAAGAATAACTTAAGATTGATTGAGTGAATGAAATCAGGAGATAGCACAGTGATATAAAAAACCTGTTCACAGATGTCACGGCAGAAAATTTCCCAGGGCAGGGAAAAAGAATTTCACACACAAGTAAGTTAGGCATATAGAACTCCAATTAGCTATGATCAAAAGCAATCTATAGCAAGGCATATAATAGGCAAGATTCCAGAAATTCAACACAAGAACAGAATATTGAAAGCTTTTAAAGAAAAGAAACAAATCACCAATAAAGGAATGCCCATCAGAATCACAACTGATTTCTCAACACAAACCCTCAAGATCTTGGAGTGAAGGATTTCAAGCCCTAAAAGAAAACAACCTCCAACCCAGATTGACATACCCAGCAAAAAAATATTTCAAAATTGATGGAGAAATAAAATACTACCATGACAAAGAACACCTGAGGAAATCAATTCATGAAAACCAAACCAGCACTCCAAAATGTTCTGAAGGGAATTCTAGAAAGAGATAACAAGGACTACAGCTCCATGAACCCCAACAGAATGAATCCACCAAGCAAGGCAAACAGTTATGCAGGGGGTGAAGGGAGGGAGCCAACAACAGAAAAATAACAAGGATATGTCAATACATATCAGTTATAACCAACAATATTAATGGTCTCAATTCACCAATCAAAAGAAACATACTGGCAGAATGGATCCAGAAGCAAGATCCAACAATATCCTGCATAAAAGAAACACATTTAACTCAAAAAGAAATTCATAGACTGAAAGTCAAAGGATGGAAAACAATACTCCATGTGACAGTAACCCAGAAAAAAAGCAGGGGTAGCTATTCTATTTGTAGATAAAGTAAACTTCAAGCCAAGATTAATTAAAAGGGGCAGAGAAGGGCACTACATATTTGTTAAAGGAAAACTCCAAGATGAGTAGATAACAATCATAAATATATATGTACTAAATACAGGTGCATCCAACTATATAAAACAAATGTTAATGGACATGAAAAATCAAATAAACACTCATACAGTTGTACTTGGGGAATCTCAATACTCCACTGTCACAAATAGACAGATCAACTACACAGAAAATCAATAATGAAATATTAGAACTGAACCAAATTTTTGAACAAATGGACTTAGTAGATGTGTACAGATTACACAATATCAGAATACACATTTTTCTCAGCTGCACACAGGATGTTCTCCAAAATAGACCACATACTAGCTCATAGCACGTGCTTAGGTAAATGAAAGGAATTGAAATTATTCCATGCATATTATCGGGCTATAGTGTGAAGAAATTGGAAATGAATGGCAAAAGAAACCAGAAGAACTTCTTAAACACATGGAAGTTGAATAACACCCCCCTGAACAACAAATGGGTCACAGATGAAATTAAAGAAGAAAGTAGACAGTGTCTGTAATTAAATGATAATGATAATACAACATACTGGAACTTATGGAACACAATGAAAGCAGTTCTATGAGGAAAATTTATAGCAGTAAATACCCATATCAGGAAAACAGAGCCAGCTCAAATAAATGGCTTAATGGTGAACCTCAAACTTCTAGAAAAAGTAGAGCAGGCCAAACCCAAAGCTCATATGATGGAGGAAATTATAAAGATCAGAGCAGAAATTAATGCAGTGGAGACTAACAAAATAATGGAGAGAATTAATGAAGAGTTGGTTCTTTGAAAGATTAAATAAAATCAACAAACCATTAGCCACTCTTATAAAAAAAATGAAAGAAAAGACTCAAATCTGCACAGTTAGGATTGAAAAGAGTGAAATCACAATGGACCCTGCAGAAATCTAGAAGATCATCTGTACCTACTTCAAGAACCTGTATTCTAATAAGATGAAAAATGTATAAGAAATGGGCAAATGCTTAGATACATATGAATTACCAAAGGTGAATCAAGAAGATATAGAAATCCTAAATAAACCAATATCAATCAATGAAATCAAAGATATAATTAAAAACCTACCAAAAAAAGAAGCCTAGGTCTTGATTGATTCACCACTGAATTCAATACTGTTACATTTCAAACTCTTCAGTGAAATCAAAAGGGAAGCAACACTGCCAAATTCATTCTTGGAAGCAAGCATTACCCTGCCACCAAAACCAGAGAAGGACCCATCTAAGAAAGAGAACTACAGGCCAATCTCCCTAATGAACATAGATGCAAAAATCCTCGATAAAATTCTGGCAAACAGAATGCAGCAAGTCTTCAAGGAGATTATACACCATGACTAAGTAGGCTTCATCCCAGGGATGCAGGGGTGGTTCAACACACATAAATCCAATATAATACACCATATTAACAGAGCTGAGGACAAAAACTATATGATCATCTGAATAGATGCAGAAAAACTTTTGACAAAGTCCACCATCCATTCATGATAAAAACCCTACAGAAAATTGGAATAGATGGTCTTTATTTCAATCTGATAAAAACCATTTGTGACAAACCAAAAGCCAACATCATATTAAGTGGACAAAAGCTGAAAACTTTCACTGTAAAATTAGGAATAAGGCAAGGATGTCCACTGTCTCCACTCTTATTCAACATAGTCCTGGAAACTTTAGCCAGAGCAATTAGACAAGAGAAAGCAATAAAAGGAAAAGCGATAGGAAAGGAAGAAGGTAAATTACCATTATTTGCAGATGACATGATACTCTACATAGAAGACTTCAAAAAGTCACTAAAAACCTTCTAGATTTAATAAGCAAATTCAGTAGTGTAGCTGAAAACAAAGTCAATACTCAAAAATCAATAGCCTTCCTGTACATGAATAACAAACTCAGTGAGAGAGAAATTAGGGAAACAACACTTTTCACAGTAGCATTAAAAAATGGAATACCTAGGTATCCATTTAATGAAGTTGGTAAAGGAAATTACAGTACTCTGAAAAAGGAGATTGAATAGGATATCAGAAAATGGAAGGATGTCTCTTGTTCTTGGG